TTGCAAACTTTTCGGTCGCTGCCGACGTCGCCTGGAACGTTAGCGCCAGTGGAAGGGCCATGTGTAGCGGCAAACAGGGGTAGTTTGGGCATTATTTCCGCGTGGTTGCGACAATTCAAATTGGGGAGGTTATTGTGACAGGAAGTGTTTTGGTTTCAACGGCCTTGGCGGTACCGTTTGTTGGGCACGGATTTTTTGGAAAAGATGCCAATTAAAATTTCAGTGGAAAAAGGTTGTTTGGAATTACCTTCGGAGAAATGTATGAAATTTTTTGGGGACGCCTTCGAAATTTGCGGTGGCGAACGCTGTGGTGCAGGCCGTGGTGAGCCACACCGTGCGCGTCCCGCCTGCATCGCAAATATTGGTACCGCTACGGTTAAAGAACGAATTGCCTTGGGATGAGCTACAGGAGGGAGTGCTGTTGACACCCTCAAATGCTGTGTCGAGAATGCCCACCGTGGTAGGAGCTTTGACCATAATACCAACTTATTGTGATCCCTTCATTCAAATTGTAAACGCGGGGCACGAAGAGGTTGTTATTCAAGGGGGCACTACGTTGGCGCACGCAACGGAGGCGCCGGGTCCAGAAACAAAAACATGTTTTGCTACGGGGCAGGATGAAATGTTGTCAAGGGAGGAGGACGATCCGGAATGGTTAAGGGATCTTTACAAACAAAACCCAGAGTTATCGCCTGTGCAACGGTCGAGTTTGCATGCGTTGCTAGTGGAATTTAAGGATGTGTTCAGTTCAGGGAAATACGACGTGGGTCGAACGACGTTGTTGCAGCATCGTATTGACACGAGGAACGCACCCCCAATCAGGTTAAATTCGCATCGTGTAGATCCTCTTGAGAAATAATGTATTTGGCGATCTGTTGATGAAATGCTAGAGCAGGATATTATCGCCCCATTGTCCAGCCCGTGGGGGGCCCCTATTGTCCTCGTTAAAAAACGTGACGGAACCATGCGATTTTGTGTTGACTATCGGAAATTAAATAAAGTTTCGGTGGCGGAAGCATACCCGCTTCCACGAATTGATGATTCGCTGGACGCCCTGTCCGGCGCCAGAATATTTTCGACCCTCGATTTGTTGTCGGGCTTTTGGCAATTGCCCCTGGATAAAGAGTCAAGACCTAAAACGGCATTTCCGACACCACAAGGATTGTATCAATTTAACGTGCTCCCGATGGGACTCCACTCAACGCCGGCGACCTTCCAGCGATTAATGGAACTTGTGTTGTCAGACCTGCAGTGGGAGTCATGCTTGATATATTTAGATGATGTGATGAACATTTGCAACGGCTGCGCGCCGTTTTTGGCAGAGTGCGGCGCGCTGGATTGAAATTTAAACCACAGAAGTGCCAATTGTTAAGAACATCGGTGAAGTATTTGGGGCACGTCATTAGCACGTCAGGAGTGGCCACTGATCCGGAAAAGACGAGTTGTGTGCGTACATGGCCAGTGCCGAAAACAGCAGGGGAAGTGCGTAGCTTTGTGGGCTTTGCGTCGTATTATCGGCGGTTCGTTAAGGATTTTGCCACGATTGCTTGACCATTGCATACGCTGACCGGGAAAGGTGTAAAGTTTCAATGGGGGATTGCTGAACAAAAATTGTTTGAAGCGTTGCGGGCCGCACTGGCGGACGCACCGCCGTTGGGATACCCGGATTTTACGAAGCGATTTATACTTGACACAGCCTGTGATACGGGCATAGGCACGGTTTTGTCACAAATGGTTGATGGCGTCGAGAGAGTGGTGGCATATGGCAGCCGGGTGTTATCGCCGGCGGAGCAAAAATACTGTGTGACGCGTAGGAAATTATTGGCGATTGTCCATTTTGTGCGCCAGTACCGACCGTATCTATACGGCAGGGAATTTTTGATCCGCACTGATCACGCGGCGCTACAGTACTCGCTGCGCGTGGATCAGCCGTCGGGGCAAATGGCTCGCTGGATTGAGACCCTCCAGGAGTACTCTTTCACGATCCAGCATAGGAAAGGGACGCACCATGTAAACGCGGATGCTTTGTCGAGGTTGCCGCGACCGGCTGAGACGTGTCGGTGCAAAGAGGGCTCGCTGCGTTGCAGCCCGCCGCTGCAGGAGGTTCTGCAAACGGTCGCTGCAGCGGGTTCGGGGGTGCCAGGGATAATCCCTGGAGCAGAAATTGGACTGTTGGGGTTGTCATTGAAGCAGTGGAAGCAACTGCAGGTGGAAGATCCCTCGCTGACCAGGATGAGGCTGCGTGCCTCTCGTTCAAGGGGATCGGAGGATCGCCCATTTTTGATGTTAACGGAGGGGTTGCTTGTTCGCTGGGATGTGGAAGCACAAAAATTTTGTATTGTTGTCCCGAAGGTGTTGTGGGGAAAACTGATTAACGAGGTACATGAGAAATTGCTGCATCTGGGGGAGAAAAAGACCGCGTTGACGGTGGGGAGTGAATTTTACTGGCCGGGAATGTTTAACGATGTGAAACAGCATGCAAAAGCGTGCCAGGAATGTGCACGGAGGAAAGCGCCGGCACGGCCATATCGTGTCCCTTTGCAATCGATTCAAGTTTCGAGAGTGAACGAAATTGTGGCACTAGACACTTTGGGTTCGTTCCCCGTCACCCCCCGAAGGCACAGATATTTGCTCATCGGGGTGGAATACTTAACTCGTTGGCCGATGGCATGGCCGCTAGTAGACCAGTCAGCGACGTCGATCGCCGAGGCTTTCTTGAATGGATACGTATTAGATAAGGGGGCCCCGGAACATTTGCTTACTGACCAAGGCAGAAAGTTTTCATCGAAATTGATTAAGGACGTGTGTGACTCGCTGGGGACCAAAAAGATCCGGACGTCCCCGTACCACCTGCAGACTGACGGGATGGTCGAGCGGCTGCATAGGACGCTGACGTCCATGCCTTGTCACCAAGTAAACACCGCTCAAGATGATTGGGATCTGCATGTTGCAGCGACGCTGGCCGCGTATAAATTGGCCACGCATGCCTCAACGGGGTACTCGATATTTTTTCTGATGTATGGACGGGAACCGGAAGCGCCGGCTATTGTAAAATTGGGAATTTTAAAACCGGAGAAATCTACGACGATGCCTGCTCCGATGCAGGTGGCTTTGGACCGTCTAAGGGAAGCCCGAGAGGCTGCATTGCAAAATACGGCACGACGACAAGCCGCTAGCGAAAGATTGTTCGGCAGGCAGCGGCCACGAGAGCCGTGGAGTGTTGGAGATAAAGCCTGGTTGCACTGCCCCATGGTGCCAGTGGGAACGTCCCCGAAGTTTCACCGCCCCTGGCAGGGGCCCGTTGATATTGTGGAGGTTTTACGGGCTCAGAGTGTGCGAATAAAATTCGGTCGTCGGACATGGTTTGTTCACCCGTCGCGCCTGAAGAAATTTGTGTTACCATATGATGCGTCATCCCCCATCCGAGAGCGGCCTGTATTGGATGTGTCCGACGAACCTGTGGGGAGGTCACAAGTGCGTGTGTCCCAGAGATCTGCCCCCCGTGTGCCTGCAGGATCGCCCTTTTTGGGCAGGGTTACCCACCGGACGCCGATTGAACGGCCACAGATCCGGACCAATGGCAGTCCCGACCGTGAACGACGGACAGCCCCGCCAGCTGAGTGTCGCTGGGACAGGGATGGGCGCAGGGTTCATTGGCAAGACGAGCGAAGCCCTCCCTTACCGAAGAGATTCCCATGCAGGGGAGATGGACCGGCAGTGGGAATCCGTTCCAGGAGGAATACAATACATTGACTTTGGGGGTTGGGAATTCTGTATATTGTGTGCGTGTCGTTGTGTGATTGTACAAAATGGTTGTATATTGCAAATGCGTTATGTATATATGTTGTCATCGTTCCGTCCGCTTCACTCCACTACTCCAATTCGAGTATATCGTAGCCGGGGACGGCTAGGTTCTTTCATCATGGGGGGGGGTGATGTAGTGGAGTAAGCAATACGCATAGGAATTGGCCACATACCGTACATACAGACAGACAAGGAGAACGGGTCACATGAGGTCGAACAGGTGGTCGAGTCGCGGGTGGCGTAAACAACCCGAAGTAATTAAGGAAGTCGTGGCACGAGGGCTGTGATTGGTCGAGAGGCTGTTAGTGTTAAGTGGTGGCATCTGGATGTCTGATGGAGGGGACAGGTGCGAGCTGGCGGAAAACGGCCAGCGAGCCACGTGGCAATTAATTAAGGCTAATGCGAAAGGGGATAAAACGCGAGGTGATTTGAACGGAGGGAGAGTTGCTGCTGGGGAGTTGCTGCTGGGGAGTTGCTGCTGGGGAGTTGCTGCTGGGGAGTTGTTGTTGGAGAGTTGTTGCTGGGCAGTTGTTGGCGAGAGGTGAAGAGATACGAAGAAGACAGCTGGCAATGTTAGGGAAGAATAGATAGAGAGCCGGACCCCAAAGACAGTAAATAGCGATAGGGAGAGTCAGCGTTAGCGGAGATAGAGAGAGTCACTGTGTGTGAATAGATAGATGGAGTCACTGTGTGTGAATAGACAGACAGGATACTGTGTGTGAATAGATAGAAGAACCACTGTGTGTGGAAGGAAAGTCACTGCGTGTGAAGAGATAGCGGCGATACTGTGTGTGAATAGATAGAAGAACCACTGTGTGTGGAAGGAAAGTCACTGCGTGTGAAGAGATAGCGGTGATACTGTGGGTGAGGAGATAGAAGACGAACCACTGTGTGTGGAAGGAAAGACACTGTGCGTGAAGAGATAGAGGAAGGAACAGTGTTTGTGGAAGGGGATGCACAGACGATGCTGAAGTAAATCGGAGTGTCCGAGTTGGTGGAGCACGGAGAGAATTACTGTGTGTACGGAACGATGGAATAAAAGTGACGGCGGAAAAAGAGACGGTTGTCGAGTGAATTCACGGCACGACAGTAGGATAAAATGCAAGCTTGTCTCAAAAATGCATTTGCTACAAGTACTACTAGATGTTATAGGACCTCACAATACTTTAACTCAACCCATTGAACACACTACTCACCTTTCTCTGCAGTCTGAACGGCCACAGCGTTTAATATTTTGTTCAGCACGAGCAGTAGAGAAATTCTGTCGGCCTCTGCCTTGGGGAACTCCAAGATCCTCTTGAGAACCTCTGGAGGAGAGGTTACATAGGGTATTAAACATGACACCAATTTACAGCTGCAAAGGCCCTCTTGCCATTCGGATCATGTTAAGGCCTGTTTGCTGCTCTGTCTGTGCTTACACTGAAAGTAATAACATACAGCACTAACATGATAATGCTATGTGCAGTACATGGACAATACCAGTACTGTGCTGTGTGGTATTGATGGATATTGCAATGGCATATACCCATACGGTGGATCACGATGCTAGAGAGCACAATATGTGTCCCTCGTGGCCTTTGCCTAACCGAAAGGCTGAGATAATCGTAGAAGTGTTTACAAATTCCCACGATCTCACTCTCCTACAACAAATACAACATTCTTTTACACAGGTATTTTCAATGTCCCATTTAATTCTCACACTTTGTATCTCCTCCTTCAACTTCACTGGCTTCCCATTTATGATTGTATTATTTTCAAATACCTTACACGGGTCTTCAAATCTCTCCCTGGCCTTGCTCCACCTTATCTTGTCTCTCCCATCTCCTTCTATGTCCCCTCTAATCCTCTCCGGTGAAAAGCTTCTCCGTGTCTCTCAGTCGCTCATATTCTCTTTTTGCCCAATCAATTTTTTATCTTTCTCCTTCCTTGCACCCCTCCACTGGAATAAGTCCCTTGTACATGAAGCAATCTCCATCCTTAACCTCCTTTTGTTGCTCTCTCAAAGCTCACCTCTCCTCTATTTCCAAATCTCTTTCACTTCCCTTCCCATCCCTCCCCTGCCTTTTAGTGACCCCTGTGAGGTCTCTGTCATGATCACTCATTCCTCGGCACTTACACGCTCCTGTCATCTAAATCACTAAATGTCGTCACCGATTTTTAAACTATGCAAAGCGCCTTGAGCTAAGGTGCTCTCTGCATATATGAAGGACACTGTACATGGCAAGGGTTATAGTTGGGTCAGTTGAGATCAGTGGAAACAGGTGCAGGGTAGGTTCAATCTAGATTTGAAGTTTTCGTGACTGCAGGGATCCATACTCTTTGGTTCTTTCGGTAAAGTCACGTAGGTATCAAATAAATTAAATTAAATTAAATCACGACGTTTCGGGCACAACACAAGCGTCCGTCATCAGGTGGGATAACCACAGCAAGAAACAATTGCTGAAGTGGGCAAGAGAGCTGCTGTAAACAAGAGGCTATATAGGCAAGAGAGGGAGGGGAGGAGCCAGGGAGGAGAGATGGGGGGGGGGATGTGGGGTAGGAGGAGTGGTGCGCTGCCAAAGCAAGGAGAGAGGGAGCAAAGGCAAAAAAGGAAAAGCATGGCAAAATGCCGGGTGGAGGTGGGGGCGTGAAGTGAGTGAGACTGGGAAGCTGAAGAAACTGGAAATGCAGATAAGGAAGCAACAGGATAACGCAGTTAAGGTTTTACCTGGTTAATAACATCCTTCCAATGATTGCTAAATTTGTATCCATCTTCTCAGTTGAAGTTATGTCTATGTTTATATATCTGGATGGCTTCATGAACAAACCTTTGATAGTAGCCCGAGGGTTTGCAGAGTACCTTGGTCTCGGAAAAAAACAATATCATGAGAGCCCACAGCGTTATAGCAATGGTCAGCCACGGCGGAGGTGTTAGCTCTGCCGTGTTTCAGATCCGACTTGTGCTCGCGAACATGGTCCGAGATGTGTCGTTTCGTTTCCCCAATGTAACAATCACCACAGGTGCAACTTAGTGTGTAGACCCCAGGATATTGCATGTCAGGAATGACATCCTTCAGAGATGGGATTAGATCACGGATTTTGTGCACTGTACTGAATCGGACCTGGATCTTGCGTTTGTTTAAGATTTTGGAAATATTTTTGGTAACGCCTGCTATGTATGGTAACGTGATGGTTTTGATTGGCGTCTCAGGGGGTTGTTTCTCCATGGTTGGAGACACAGCTTTGCGAATAATACGGTCTGAGTACCCATTCATCTTTAGGGCCTGGCGTACGTGTTCCAGTTCACTGGCTATGTGGTGTTGATGAGAAATGCGTTTCAGGCACAACACAAGTGTCTGTCATCAGGTGGGACAACCACAGCAAGAAACAATTGCTGAAGTGGGCAAAGGAGCTGCTGTAAACAAGAGGCTATATAAGTAAGAGAGGGGGGGGGAGCCAGGGAGGAGAGATGGGGGGGGGGGGTAGGAGGAGTGGTGCGCTGCCAAAGCAAGGAGAGGGAGAGCAAAGGCGAAAAAGGAAAAGCACGGCAAAATGCCGGGGGGGAGTGGGGGGGGGAAGTGAGCGGAATAAGATTGCTCCGATTTTAACTTGATAATTTAGACAAGACTCTCTTACAATCACACTTAGTATTAACAGATAAAATGTCTACTTCTGATTGGGACGATGTAGATAACATAACAGTCTCCTCTGCTAATTCGATGTCAACCAAATGTAAAATTAACTAGATCGCTAAATTCAACCTCCTGTCAAAAATAAGCCAGATTCACACATTAAAAAATTAGATGTCAACAAGATTGTCATCAATCAGAGTAACATCCCAATTTCCGACAGCCTAAAATCGGTACTAGCCAAAGGGTTGAATTAGACAGTAACCCCCAAACATATCCCAGTGGATGATATAATCTCCCAGGTCGATGTAGCCCTCAAAGGCTTGGGACACATCCCGACAGACGTTGCTAGATCTGAAATTGCCGCCATCCTTAAAAATGCTAAGAAACCCATTTGGAACATCAGCAAAGACGAGCGCTCTGAACTCGCAAAATTGAAAAAGAGAGATGACATAGTCATCCTCTCGGCCGAAAAGGGCAATGCTACTGTCATCATGGAATAACAAAATCCAGGACCTTCTTAATGATGGCAGTTACACCAAAATCAACAATGATCCGACTAACAGCCTGAATACAAAAACTAACAATATCATTACCAGTTCGACTTCTCTAATCGAACCAGTCAAACGGCTCTCCCTAAAACCTTCTGCTGCCAGACCACCCAGATTTTATGGTCTGCCTAAGATCCATAAAGAAGGCACTCCGCTTCGGCCCATCGTTTCCACCATCAACTCACCTATATTAAGGGAAAAAAAGTATTTGATCCCCTGCTGATTTTGTACGTTTGCCCACTGACAAAGAAATGATCAGTCTATAATTTTAATGGTAGGTTTATTTGAACAGTGAGAGACAGAATGACAACAAAAAAGTCCAGAAAAACGCATGTCAAAAATGTTATAAATTGATTTGCATTTTAATGAGGGAAATAAGTATTTGACTCCTCTGCAAAACATGACTTAGTACTTGGTGGCAAAACCCTTGTTGGCAATCACAGAGGTCAGACGATTCTTGTAGTTGGCCACCAGGTTTGCACACATCTCAGGAGGGATTTTGTCCCACTCCTCTTTGCAGATCTTCTCCAAGTTATTAAGGTTTTGAGGCTGACGTTTGGCAACTCGAACCTTCAGCTCCCTCCACAGATTTTCTATGGGATTAAGGTCTAGAGACTGGCTAGGCCACTCCAGGACCTTAATGTGCTTCTTCTTGAGCCACTCCTTTGTTGCCTTGGCCGTGTGCTTTGGGTCATTGTCATGCTGGAATACCCATCCACGACCCATATTCAATGCACTGGCTGAGGGAAGGAGGTTCTTACCCAAGATTTAATGGTACATGGCCCCATCTATCGTCCCTTTGATGCGGTGAAGTTGTCCTGTCCCCTTAGCAGAAAAACACCCCCAAAGCATAATGTTTCTACCTTCATGTTTGATGGTGGGGATGGTGTTCTTGGGGTCATAGGCAGCATTCCTCCTCCTCCAAACACGGCGAATTGAGTTGATGCCAAAGAGCTCCATTTTGGTCTCATCTGACCACAACACTTTCACCCAGTTGTCCTCTGAATCATTCAGATGTTCATTGGCAAACTTCAGACGGGCATGTATATGTGCTTTCTTGAGCAGGGGGACCTTGCAGGCGCTGCAGGATTTCAGTCCTTCACGGTGTAGTATGTTACCAATTGTTTTCTTGGTGACTATGGTCCCAGCTGCCTTGAGATCATTGACAAGATCCTCCCGTGTAGTTCTGGGCTGATTCCTCACCATTCTCATGATCATTGCAACTCCACGAGGTGAGATCTTGCATGGAGCCCCAGGCCGAGGGAGATTGACAGTTATTTTGTTTCTTCCATTTGCAAATAATCGCACCAACTGTTGTCACCTTCTCACCAAGCTGCTTGGCAATGGTCTTGTAGCCCATTCCAGCCTTGTGTAGGTCTACAATCTTGTCCTGGAGAGTTTGGAATCTGATTGATTGATTGCTTCTGTGGACAGGTGTCTTTTATACAGGTAACAAGCTGAGATTAGGAGCACTCCCTTTAAGAGTGTGCTCCTAATCTCAGCTCGTTACCTGTATATAAGGCACCTGCGAGCCAGAAATCTTTCTGATTGAGAGGGGGTCAAATACTTATTTCCCTCATTAAAATGCAAATCAATTTATAACATTTTTGACATGCGTTTTTCTGGATGTTTTTGTTGTTATTCTGTCTCTCACTGTTCAAATAAACCTACCATTAAAATTATAGACTGATCATTTCTTTGTCAGTGGGCAAACGTACAAAATCAGCAGGGGATCAAATACTTTTTTCCCTCACTGTACGTGACTTTACCGAAAGAACAAAAGAGTATAGGTCCAGGGTACTGTATGAGGGAAGGTTCGAGGAGGGAAGTAGGAAACGGTAGAGTATGCTGAAATAATGTAACGTCGGAAAGTGCTAGAAGTTACCCGGGCGTGGCAGAGCGGTATATAAGGGGGAGTGAGGCCCGCGATCAGGGTGCTGCCTTGGGGACTGAAGGACTGCAGGTGGAGGACATCGGGGCCGACTGTTGGAGATCGACATCGTGGAAACCATTAAGAAGGACTGTGTGAGATGAATCTAGTGGAAACTACTGGGGCTGCAGATAGTCATAACCTTGTGAAACGTGTTAGCCATACTCTCGCCTTGTAAATACGTTACTGTAAAATAAATCGTCTAGAAAATGGAAACTGTGAAGGAGCTTCTTTACATATATAAACTAAGATTTGAGAATCCTGGGAGAACTGTATCACATTCTGGGCACAAAGAAAATCTGAACCTCCAGGATCATCCCAAAACCGATAGTATGTTAGAATGCTTTAATTGGGCGCACGTGGATATTATTTTCTATGTTTTAAAAAGGGAAGCAAGTGTGCTTATTAAACAGCTGGGCTCCGAATGCAGGAGGAAACAGGCATTGGGAGGGGAGGATCCTAGGGGAACTAATCAGGAGGGAGTGAGGCTCAAGAGTCTCAGACACCACTTCCATTGCATCTGGAAATTAGTGGATCAGGAGGGATTTTGGTCCTGGAGGCTTCATAAGTAGGGAGTGAACGGTAGAGTGGGGAGTGTGTGATTGGGAATAAAGACTGATCGGAAACGGGCAAGACTACAAAGTACTTCGCAGAAACCTGGGCGAGACTATGGATGATGATGTCCAAACTATTCGACATCTCTGAATAAGAGCTTCATAGCTCATTGGATTTCTCCAGGATAAATACAGATTCCGATTATGATCATTCATCAGGCACCTGTGCGTGAACAGGAAAATAGTGCTCAGCCATCAGCTTCATTAGTAATAGCGGTAGAGATAGCACAGGGTCAGGAGCTGCAGTAGTAATAGCGGTAGAGATAGCGTGAGGATAGGAGCTACAGTAGTAATAGTGGTAGAAATAGCACAGGGTCAGGAGATGCAGTAGTAATAGTGGTAGAGATAACTTGAGGCTAGGAGCTGCAGTAGTAATAGTGGTAGAGATAGCACGGGGTCAGGAGCTGCAGTAGTAATAGCGGTAGAGATAGCATAAGGCTAGGAGCTGCAGTAGTAATAGCGGTAGAGATAGCACAGGGTCAGGAGCTGCAGTAGTAATAGTGTGGTAGGTAATTGTCAGGCGTAATACGCCGCCACCGCTACTTGAAAATATGTACCTCCAGTCAGGGCCCAACAGGGGGCAATAGCGGTTTCGGTCTGTACCAAGTAGGGTTTGTGGGTCAGGATCAGTGGGCATGGCCAGGGGCAGAGTGACCCTGGGAGCCCCATAAAAGCCGGACCCCAGAGCAGCTCCGGCAGTCAGCATCAAGCCGAAGACTGAAGAGCTCGCCTGAAGATAGGACCCTGGACCCCAAGCTCCGCTGTCTTTTTAAGGGCCGGAGCTGAGTGAGGCCAGTGGTCAGGGGACTAGGACCCTGAGGATCCCCGGACCCGACGTCCTTATCAGGGCCGGGTCTGAGTGGGCCAGTGGTCAAGACTCGAGGACCTTGGCTGGGTCGGGTCAGCCTCCCCTAGATCCCGTTAGCCGAAGGGCTAAGATTAGGTGGTCCCAGTGACTAGGGCACATTAGCCCGGAGGCTATACCTCCTCAGGTTGTCAGGTAGAAGGGGCCATTACCCCTTCGTGTTAGAGACCCCGTGTTTTATTGTTTTTGCTAAATACATACGTGTTGCCTCCTAAGAAGACTCCGTCTCCATACAACCCACTACAATAGCGGTAGAGATAGCACAGGGTCAGGAGCTGCAGTAGTAATTGTGGTAGAGATAGCACAGGGCCAGGAGCTGCAGTAGTAATAGTGGTAGCGATAGCACAGGACCAGGAGCTGCAGAAGTAATAGTGGTAGAGATAGCAGAGGACCAGGAGCTGCAGTAGTAATAGTGACGTCCATTCATGAGCGTCGGAGCATTGTTTACATTCTGCTGCACTTTGAAGTGGAAACATCTCTTTTGAATTATTGGTGTATTTTGACTTAAAACTATAATAAAATCAATAGTTATGGCTCCCAAAGTGCTTGCGAATGAAGACAAGAAAGTGAGGAAGACAATTAGTGTTTTAACTAAGAAATAAATAATTGACTGCTCTTCCAAAATGTTATTTTCTCCTCTCTCAACTTCTCCATGAACCTCTTAAGTCCGTCTACATTTTTTGCCTCAGGTAAGATTGTTGTCATAGGGACAGTAAATATTAACCATGTATCTTTTAATATTATGTGTTTATAATGATGTTAGTATTTTTATGAATTAATATCCATTGTTTAAAAATAATAAAGTAGTTTTTTTTGGGTGAAAAGGAATAACTTTCGATGCTATCGGAACAAATTAAGCCTGTAACGTGTATGTCCTACTCTCGCTTAACGACTAAATCACTTAACGACCGGTTTCGTGGAACCAAGCACCATCGTTAAGAGGGGTTCTACTGTATAACTGAAGTAGCTATAGTGGTAGTGATGGCATGCAGTGTTTATTGAGACCACTTAGGTTCTTACAAGTTGTATTTGAACTTTTAATAGCAGGGCTGTACATAAGTCTTCATCCCCAAGTATTGTTTAGCGTTACCAGTGTTAAATACATTACTTTAATCACTCTATCTATATATACATATATATATGTGTTTGTGTATGCTGTGGACTTCATTAGGTGGGGTTGGTACTACATTGGCAAAATCCGGCAGCAGGATGAAGACACAATACACGTGCATATGTGAACCTGTGTGCCTGGGTATATGGCTGTATGCACGTGTAGTGACTGACTCAGAGACACTAAGAGTAGGAAGCTCTCTGTTTATTAACACGGCCTGACAGTTAACACTTGGTAACTACGGTTCCCAGTCAGGACAGCTGGTAGACTGTCTGACTGGCGACGCCGAGATGGTGAAGATGGAGACGACGGCGAAGACTCCAGCAGCACGACGGGGATCCCCCCACTCCACACGACAGCCCCGAGGTCCCCGAGGGACCCTCTTATACTGTCAGCGTGGCCTGGCTCTGCCCCCGGCCACGCCCTCTTCTGGAACCTTCTAGCGGGTTCTTGATGTGCTCCTTCCGTAACCTTTCCCCTAGATCCCTCTCTGGTCTATCACGTGACCTGCTGTCACCCAGGGCTGCTGTCAGCTGCAGATCCCCTTCCCTGCCAGCAGCCAATGCTATGCTGCTACGTGACAAATTCTATGTCACTACACACACATTCAACTATTCATTTGTTTACTCAGTCAGGGAGGTGAACACAATTGACTTTAAAAAAGAGGTCACCACCCTGAAAGCGATGCAGATTCATTGCAGTCATGATCACTCATCACACGCAGATAATGCATTTGGCTCACATGTTGGGCATGGGCTCCCTTAATGTGGGAGCACTCTGCACCAATGCTTTCACAGTGCTGAGCAGGCAGACACTGCATTTAAATACAGTTCCAGTGTTTCTCTACTACAGGGACACAATCATAATTACACAAAAACGTTCGGTGGACAATGCATGCGGAGCTCTCACTTGGGCCATCGTCATCTCTGTAAGCCGTGTGGAGCGCCTCCTTCTCCTGTGCTGGGCACTCGGAAGACAGCAGCTCCAGCAGCCTCTCCAGGCGTGGCATTGTGGAGCCGTCGTACCTATGAGACAACACAGAGCGTGACCCAGGAGTAACACAGCCTCATCTCACAGCTCCAGCAGCCTCTCCAGTTGACTCACTTTGGAGACATCACACCTGTGAGACAACACGGAGCGTGACTCAGGAGTAACACAGCCTCATCTGTTGTGACTATACAAAGCACGAATTCAGCCAGAGTTGGAAATACTATTGTAATATCTGGATTAGAGTTCACTGTACCTCAGTCAGGTTGATTGATAGTCTAGCACTCACTGATTCACTCCAGTCCCTCGCTCTCTGGTGGTCAGTCCCCTCATTATCACCCTCTTATTGCGCAAACCATTGTTACTATTCCCATGAACATCACTCATTGATTCCTCCACACATGTTGAGGACTTGGTTTACCAGATTGACGAGTCTCATCCGTGCAACAGAGTGATCAGCCATGGATGCAGTTTTGGGCCTTAGTCTTCTCTGAGCTCCAAGGTGAGTTTAACACATCGCATACATCGACGTAAAGGCTGCCTTCAACTCCGTGGACAGAGAGGCATTATGGAAGGCGCTGAGAGCCATGGGAACTCCAAAATTCCTGGTTCATCTCATCTGGAGGGGTAGGAACTTATCTGGATCGTTCACGATACCATTGGGCATCCACCAAGATGGCATCCTTGCCTTGGCCCTCTTCTGCATCTGAATTGACTGGATCGTGGCGAGGTGCTCTACAGCATTTGGCAAAGCTATTGGTGATCAAATGTTACCAATCTCGACTATGCTGACTCTGGACAATGCTATGGACCATGATGAAGGTGACTCAGATAAGGTACAGGCTTTCCATATGCAGTATCTCAGGGACGAATTGTGTTGACTAAGCAGTGACCATAACCATGAGGCTGAGATGGAAATCTGAGATTCACTGGATGTGGATGGCTGTGGCAATTATCTGGCAGGCTGGAAGAGTATAATTAAATGTAAAAGAAAACTGAAACTAGAGAGCATGAGCAGATCACGTGGGTGCAAAGCCTGTATTCACCGACTGCATTCATCTTTCATGACCTCATGTTCTCTTCCTATGCACCCCCATCCCTTATCACGCTCCCCATCTCCTCCTTAATCCCCCCCCACCGCTCCTGCCATAACCCACCTCCCCTCCTCCTATCCCCCACCACCTTGCTATTTACTAAGGGAGCCACTCCATCTCTTTTAGCTGGGCCACACTGGAAACAGCCAAGGCCGCAGGGACTCAATGCGGATGAGAAATACCTGCAATGGAATCTCTCAGATAAGCAAACTGCAGGGCAATTTATTTGTTTAACAAGGAAGACAACTCATACATGTGCATGTGATCTGTAACGCTTTCTAACAAGAGTTTGTCCTCAGTGTATGTTTTCATGAATGCTCATTCCTTGCTATGACATGAATCGGAAGCAAGGACATTCACAAAAGAAAAGTAAACAAAAACTGAAAAATACAGATAGAAGCATGGAGAGAGATGTATACTTGGAAGTAGACTGACCAATATCAAACATAACACAGGGATGAGAGGACATACACAGGTTAATGGCATAATATTGACTATTAAGAAACTTAAGTGGGCTTGGGCACGACACATGGTCAAGAATAATGATAGAGTTGCAGCCAATCGATCTAAGAGGACACCTCTTGGGATACGGATGAATAAAGTCAGCTTGTGTACTCAGGCTAGGTGGATTATTACATCGCACGAGCCTGAGAGATGAGGGTTGCTTAGGGAGGCCTTTATCCAGCAGTAAATTTTTCAAAGTTGATGTTCAATAACATTACCTTTTGCACCAGATAACAAGATGACACTACATCGCGTGTCATGATGTAATGGTGAATAGCACATGACGTCATTGTCATGGGATACATACCTTTACAGAATGTTTGAATCACTTCGTTTTTGGGAAACGTTTCATCAATGTGCCTCTGCTTTCTGAAGGGTACATCCCTAATAGCAATACAAATTCATGCTGACGTTGTTCAGATAGCATCATATTTACTAATTATTGTAATCCCCTGCTACAACAGATGGATAGACGGATGGGCAGAGCTATGAAAAACGCTTTCAACCATAGAAACATTTTAAAACGCTGTGGAAAATTACAAAAAACAATTCATTAGTGCCACGTGCTTTATGGAATCAGTGCCACGTGCTGTGCAGAATTGGTGCCACGTACTGTACGGAATCGGTGCCACGTACTGTACGGAATCAGTGCCACGTACTGTACGGAATCAGTGCCACGTGCTGTAAGGGTCACTCACGTGGAGAGCCACCTGAGCTCACGGATGATCTCCCCAACTGGGCCGGCCTTTGTCTTAAATTCCCGCTCTGTTGAGAATCCAGCCGCATTGTTAGTTCAGAAGCGGTGAGCGCGCTATCACAGACAAGACGGGCAAGGTAAGTTTGTCATAGTGGTGTCTGATGTAAAATCGCTACTTATCATATGAACCTTATGGCAGAACCCCGGGGTCCCATAAGCCCCCAGCTCTCGCATGAACTGCGTTGCGACGTCATTTTATGTCTGTTGAAGGCAAACGATACGGCAATCTGTTCCTCTCGACTAGCTCTACACGATGCACTAATTAACGTTTCAAAGTTTTGTTTATGACTACGGAAATTTTGGCAACGACGGGTGCTTGGTGAAGAACGAGAGGATTGATTTCTGGTGGGTCACGGCATTTATGTGCGCGTGGGATGGAGTCGCCAAAAATAAATAATTACGATTTTGACTTCCGTTTATTCGGGACCCCGGAGTCCCGTCATAACGTTATGTGGCTCCATTATGTTTTGTAAGGGCACACGCAAGATTCAGTACATCATGTGAACACAATACACTATCTGTATTTATAAAGCAACTAATAAGCATATCGAGAGAGTGTTAAGGAAGAGAATGGCACTATGGGAAAGACGGCGCAGGAGAAAACATACATTCTTCTCTGGTGCTGCTGTTGTCAAAGTGCTTCACTGGAGCATCGTTGTGCTGTGTGCAGCGAATTTGCTGTGTTCACGTGACGATGCTTAACTACACACGCAGTGCACATAGGTATTTTACTTTCAAGTCTGACGCCTGGTAGATTACAGATGCTGACTCCTCTGCTGTGAATTAAAGCTGTCTTTCTAATAGTTTACACAAACTCAAAAAGTACTATGCATCACTACAGCATTGGTTCAGTGAAGGCTGAAGCTGGGCTATTCAATTATTATAATAAATTATAAATCTACCAATTCTCGGTTTGATTGCTCAGATATTTGTAATGAAAATATTTGGGAAAAAGTCTCAACCATGTGTGCTGCTGGACAGGAGCTGGTGTATGGGGTTTGGTGAAGTCGTTGGCACGTTCTGCCGCACCAAGCTGATCGTGGCTTTTAGGGGGTTTCTGCCTTCAGGAAGCAGAATGTGGAGCTGGGTGCTATTTTTATAGACATGAATCATCGACCACAAAAAAGTAGTCTATTACAATTCTTAGTCGAATAACCAGCTTGGCGATGCTGCTTTGGTGTAATGGTTGACACAGTGGACTATCCAGATCTTGCCGGTTCGATTTGATCCTTCGGCTCGGTCGTTTAAACAATCGCAAGTTGAATTCCCCAAACTCTCAGTATAAATAGGTACACTGGGAGGTTGTGTGTGGTGGAGTAAAGTGTGGGTATGTATGTTGAACTTATTTCGCACCGTTCATAGCCAACCATGCTAATCGCTCTTCCCACCTTTTCCACTGTCTGGCCTGAATTGAAGAGTCGGCCAAAATTCCCTCGAGATGAGCTCACCAGAGCTCTCTCTAGTGGAAGTTCCTCTAGCAGAAGTAGCATGAGCAAGCAATTGCAGTGCTTCACTTTTACCATTTTAATCATCTGGGCTCTGGTTCAATCCCTGAATGATGACGCAGTGAGCCTAAGCTGGCGTCTGTGCCTCACCTAGCCCACACTGCACGCGTTGTACAAACCCTCCTGGCAGCACCTCTACGTGATGCACACACACAGGCCTCACCTTTGGCTTCTTTTTCCTCCTTCAGCTCTTGCTCTGTCTGGGGAGGGAACAACAAAACCACGACGGCCATCAGCACCGAGAGGCAGTGAGGGGCAGCAGCCCAGGGTTGGGCACACGGCGCCAGCAGACACCGCTACAGCAAGGGGAGAGCTCCTCGGGGAACCCTCCCACGGGAGCTTCCCTGCTCTCATAGAAGGCTCACAGCACTGTGTACGAGAATAACACAATGTGTTATCACCAATCTCAGGGATATTGATGCACTGTGCACACTCATCAAGACAATCAGTGCGCGTGCGGGCACTGCATGGATTCTGCTACAACCGCTCTCGTGCCACCCACTCCACTAATCTCCCTGCTCACTCCTCTCTGATGTGCAGGTGAAATGTCTGCGCCACACTATGTACACGAGTGCCACGTGTCCACCAGGCACCGCACTGCTCGTTGTGATGAGCGTGGTGAATTTGTTTGCTCAGTCTTTTTGACCTGGGCTAAAGGTCACAGGGCATACAGAGGTCATTTCAATACCAAAGGTCCCTGTTGCCTTCCAGTCACGGTGAGCCTTTAGGCAACTGAGCATGACAATTACTCAAGTAACTTTTGTGTGTATTTATACATGGACAAGTGGTTTCTTATTGAGTGTACCAAAAGGCGTACACTTAGATGTGTTGGTGTAAAGTAAAGCAACATGTTACATATTTTGGGAGCCATTTGAGCATGAAAAACATTTTATAGCCACTCATTCGATACTATCATTCACAGCCTCAAAACTGATGCACAACTAGATAACGCAATTCACATCGTAACTGGAACAATGAAACCAACACAAATCCCCTGTCTCCTTGTCCTGGTGAATATTCACAGAGACATTGTGCAAATTGCAAGGGAGTTTCCAAATTTTCTTGCCGAAAACAACCTCCCCATCAACCAAGACCTCAAAAATGTTCATCGCCATGAACTCAAAGACCCAATCCCCCTTGTAGAATAGCGTCGTCACCATCCTAGAATCTCACCCAAACCCGGAAAAGAATGCTGGCAAACAGTGGAACAACGCGGATGTCCAGAACAAACCTCCTTTGAGACCCAAACATTGCAGATCCTGGCTTTTGCATTCCGCCTCGAAGACACTGGTGCAACCATCCACCATATCAGAACATCAACAAACTTATGCACAAATCTCCTTTCTTCATAGATAATTGAAGACAAGCCACGGTGCAACTGTAGCTATGAAGCCCAAGTGATGGACCATATAGTAAATCACTGTAGTCTGTGCTCCTTCAACAGAGGAATAACAAAACTATACGAACTCTGTCCTGAAGCCCTCTCGTGGTAAGCAGACATTTGCATTTAGCTCATGAATATATTGCCATATGCAAGAATATATAAATATGCTGGTAAGAGTCTGGGGTAGGAGGGAGAGATGAGTGGAGTGAGAGAGGAAGATGACTGGAGTGAGAGGAGTGAGAGGAGGGAGATGAGTGGAATGAGATGAGTGGAGTGAGAGAGGGAGATGAGTGGAGTGAGAGGATGGAGATGAGTGAAGTGAGAGGAGTGAGATAAGTGGAGTGAGGGAGGGAAATGAGTTGAGTGAGAGGAGGGAGATGAGTGGAGTGAGAGAGGGAGATGAGTGGAGTGAGAGAGGGAGATGAGTGGAGTGAGAGAGGGAGATGAGTGGAGTGAGAGAGGGAGATGAGTGGAGTGAGAGAGGGAGATGAGTGGAGAGAGGGAGATGAGTGGAGTGAGAGAGGGAGATGAGTGGCCTGAGAGGAGGGAGATGAGTGGAGTGAGAGAGGGAGATGAGTGGAGTGAGAGAGGGAGATGAGTGGAGTGAGAGATGAGTGGAGTGAGAGAGGGAGATGAGTGGAGTGAGAGAGGGAGATGAGTGGAGTGAGAGGAGGGAGATGAGTGGAGTGAGAGAGGGAGATGAGTGGCGTGAGAGAGGGAGATGAGTGGAGTGAGATGAGTGGAGTGAGAGAGGGAGATGAGTGGAGTGAGAGAGGGATATGAGTGGCCTGAGAGGAGGGAGATGAGTGGAGTGAGATGAGTGAAGTGAGAGGAGGAAGATGAGTGGAGTGAGAGAGGGAGATGAGTGAAGAGAGGGAGATGAGTGGAGAGAGGGAGATGAGTGGAGTGAGGGAGATGAGTGGAGAGAGGGAGATGAGTGGAGTGAGATGAGTGGAGTGAGAGATGAGTGGAGTGAGAGAGGGAGATGAGTGGAGTGAGAGATGAGTGGAGTGGGAGATGAGTGGAGTGAGAGAGGGAGATGAGTGGAGTGAGAGAGGGAGATGAGTGGAGTGAGAGAGGGAGATGAGTGGAGTGAGAGGGAGATGAGTGGAGTGTGAGAGGGAGATGAGTGGAGTGAGAGAGGGAGATGAGTGGAGTGAGAGAGGGAGATGAGTGGAGTGAGAGAGGGAGATGAGTGGAGTGAGAGGAGGGAGATGAGTGGAGTGAGAGAGGGAGATGAGTGGAGAGAGGGAGATGAGTGGAGAGAGGGAGATGAGTGGAGTGAGGGAGATGAGTGGAGAGAGGGAGATGAGTGGAGTGAGATGAGTGGAGTGAGAGATGAGTGGAGTGAGAGAGGGAGATGAGTGGAGTGAGAGAGGGAGATGAGTGGTGTGTGAGAGGGAGATGAGTGGAGTGAGAGAGGGAGATGAGTGGAGTGAGAGAGGGAGATGAGTGGAGTGAGAGAGGGAGATGAGTGGAGTGAGAGAGGGAGATAAGTGGAGTGAGAGAGGGAGATGAGTGGAGTGAGAGAGGGAGATGAGTGGAGTGAGAGGGGGAGATGAGTGGAGTGAGAGAGGGAGATGAGTGGAGTGAGAAAGGGAGATAAGTGTTGTGAGAGACAAACACGGGCCCAGTGTGGAAAAAGCGTAGAGTTGGGAAAGCAGAGACAAAGTGTACTACGAGAGTACACCGACGGTCGCCGATCGGTGGGATAGGCTCCGCCGCTTCAGCCATTAGCTAATTAGGTGGATGGGATCAATTGGGCCAAAGTTCAAGGGCGGAGCTCAAGGGTGCTCGTGGGTAACCATCTACAGCGTTCGTGAGGGGGCGTGGCTATAGGCGGGGCTTGGTGACGTGTGAGAGGGGTTATAAGGGGAAGCAGGAAGAGGCTCGGGTCAGTGTGTGGAGTTTGGAAGCGGAACAATAGCTCGCCCCTCCGGAACGCCAGCGGCCACGTGGCGGTCTGGAGGCTGTCTCCTTGCGCGCCGTCTGCCAGCGGAGCGGGGAGCGTGAGCGAGCCGTGCGCGGGACAGCAACAACTTACACCGCTCAAACGAGGAGCGAGCGGTGTTAGTGTGGAAAGAACGCGGAGCTATCCAGCCGTCGAGAAATAAATAATAAAGAAGACACGAATGCAAGATCGTCGTCGAAGTGCTTTATTACAACAGCATGGGAGATGTGTGGAGTAGAAGACAGCACGAATATGGGGGGAGAGATAAGCTTTGGAGAGAGATATGCAGCACCAGATACATAGTATCTGACGATGGGAGACTTTTGTCGAGCTGATGTCAGGATCAATCACGAGATCTGCTCGTGAGCTTTAGCGTTGTGTATGCACGGCCATCACTGACCACACTGACTGTACTGACTTAAGCACTATCTCCCAGCACTGACCACACTGACTCTACTGACTTCCAGCACTTACCGCAGTGACTTGCACTGACTTCTAGCTCTGACTCCCAGCATTGATCGCACTGACTGTGCTGACTTACAGCACTAACTTTCGGCACTGACTGCCAGCAATGACTGCATTACCTGTCAGCCCAAATGCCTGCACTGACTGCAGATTGTAATGACTAGACTTCCTGCCTACACCAACTGCCTGCACTGTCTTCCAGCACTGCCTGCACTGTCTTCAGGCACTGCCTGCACTGTCTTCCAGCACTAACTGATCTGACTGCCATCACTGCGTGACATCGTCATAATACACACGAGCCACCTTACTCTGTGACCACGATGAAGAGGACTACGAATTTACCTCTCACCAGGGAATGCCGTGTTCACAAACCCGTGATGATACAACGTTAAGTCACGCAACGTCCTGCACACATATGTGGCACGGTGTGCAGGAAGGCCTTTCAGTGCCTCACCCCTCTCACCTTTCGCCTCCAAACTCTCACTTGGCTCTCCAGACCCTCGCAGTCTCCCACACCTGGGACATCAAAACAATGAATGGAGACACATCACACTCAAAGATACCACAGTGTTTGTTCGGGCATGTTGCAGCACAGACGTCACACACCACGGTGCAATCATGTCCACACATATACAAGTACACACTTATACAAGTACACACACACGTACAGGCATACAACGTAGAATGAAACAGTCTCAGAACACACACACGCGTGATTATCCATCAATGATGACACTCATCACTGCCACCAGCAGGGAGCCATTTCTAAACCCCCTCTATTGTATAGAGCTGACAGAGCCTGTAAGGTATAAATACGTGTACGCAACTATCACCATCAGCATTTGACATCGTGTCAGTGTCGGGAAGCAGTGACGAGGACAGTGTGAGGCCGCATCGTCATTCCCCTGTCTTAGTGGCCCTCAGCTAGGAGACCCCGCCACGTTCAGATTGCACAGGGCCTTGTACTCCTCACAGTGCCTCGTGTGTAAAGCACTGACAGAATGCACCACGAGGCCATCACCAATAACATGGCCACTTTTTAGTGGCTCATATGCAGCTTCAATATTCATGAGATTTCAAGGAGGGCAAATGCTAACAGTCATGAGGTGTGTTTGGTATTGGAACCACAGTCCCTGAAGCGTTCTTGCTCTGGTAGCCATCAATCAGCCAGGACACTCGGTGGACCCACCTGTGGAGCTCAGCGGCAGTGTCGTCTCGTATCCGTACAGCTTCTGCACCTTGGCCACGTCGCAGGGGCTCAGGGAGTTGCCATGCCCCATGTGCAGCATGAGGAGCGGATTCTTGGGGATGATGGTCGGGTTGCGCTCGTCCACCGAGCCCGCCGTCCTGGACACGCACAAAGCCTCAGGTACAGGGCCCTCCAAATCCATACACACCGCAATACGCGGAGTGCATTTGGAGCATTATACATTTTAAAAAAACTCACATCCCTTCTTGAAGGATTACGTTTGCACATAACACAAAAACATTTTACAGGTGCTAAACAGCATAACAATTCACCCATCAGGAATGAAGGTGAGGTCTGAGAAACTTGAGCATTCATAATATTCAACATTCAAATCCCAGGTAGCCACAATAAATTAAACCAGGTTCGAAAGCACATCAAGCTGATTGCCGATTGTACAACAAAAAATAAGGAATTTTTTTTTCACCAAAACTGAAATGATAACAATGTAACACCAGTCCTTGATCAATACAAAAAAACTCATTTATTATGAAAATGATTAAGGATTACACCAAATTAGGATGTTTAGCAAATCCTGATTCAGCATTCGTATGTGGAAGAAGTCTCGAGTATCCGGAGAAAACCAACACAGAAACTCTCAAATGTCCCGACAGATCAGGCACCTACTTGCTGTACTGACCTTCACTGGTCATGTCTTAGCCCTGCTGGTTAGGAATCTCCCACACATGATGCAATGTGATCACTATTGCTGCCTTTAGTGCTGGATTCCAGTCACCATACTCAGAACGCAAAACCAAGTGAACAATCCAAGCACAGCTGTGAGGCATGCGTGTGTTATAGTCAACGTTGGACTTAGTCACAATGGCTGATGTGGGACTGTATACAGTAAAACACATATAACTCGTCACAAGTTCGTTAAGCTCCTATGTGTGGAAACAGCTCCACTTGCCAATATAAGCTCGGGTTGTTATCTACAAGGCAGTGAGCTGTGGTGTAAAGCGTTTAGAATTACTGTACTATAACTCTTCATTTTGCTTACATTTGACAATATTCAAAATATATTTGCTTTTGTAAATGCATCACAAATATACAGTACAATATTTTTGTTTGTTTCTTCTTTTGGAAATGTTTTTGATGACACAATTGAGATAAAGTTCGTGAATAAAATGCAAATGTGAACATATTTTACAAATGCAATCTGCCTGCACGCTGTAATAGCATCGCGTGGTTGTACACGGCCAGACAGAGGCAACTGAGAGCAGCACCACGACTGTGGCCGCACCGTGCACGGGGCCGCTACCGGTCCACCCCCACACTCCTGACATTTCTCACTGTGGTGCAACGTAGCACCTCGAGCGGCTGTAGAGAAAGTCACTCGAGCAATACACACATCTATATACTGTACTAGCGGTAAGTATCCGGCATTGCCCGGGCGAAAAAAGCAGACACACACATCGACTTACACACAGACATCAACCCACACACATAGAAACACATAGACTTACACGCACACACACACATATGGACTCACACACACAGACATCGACTTTAGACACATATGTAGTTACACACACAAATGGACTCACACACACATAGACTTACACACATATCGACTCACACATACATACATAGACTCAACAACAACCGCCATTCGCCACTAAGTGGCGGTGACGTAACCACAACGCTTGTGGCAGGCTATGTGCACCTTGAGGCCACGTGAAGTGTCGAACGCCCGCTGGCAGGAGGTCACGGGGCAGACCCAGATGCCACAGGTTGACTGACTGAGACGACTGGCTGATGCAGCACCTGTGCCCCCTACTGTGACAACTTGCTGTGCTTTAGCAACCCGGTGCTCCGCTCGTTGTTGTGAGCGTCGCGTGGAGTGTCCGATGGTACATAGACTCACACACACATTGACCTACACAAACACACATGGACTTATAAAGACACACATCGACTAGGGCACACACAGGGACTTACACACATGGACCCACACACACACATGGACCCACGCACACACATCGACTTACAGACACACATCGACTCACATACACATACATAGACTGACACACACATATGAACTTACACACACATATCGACGTGCACACACACATGGACTCGTGCACATGGCGCAGCCTGAGTGACGCCTAGTTGATAGTGCACGTGGCACAGCCTGAGTGAGGCCTAGCTGATCGTGTACCTGGCACAGCCTGAGTGAGGCCTAGTAAATCGTGCACCTGGCGCAGCCTGAGTGAGGCCTAGGTAGTACTGCACATGACACAGCCTGAGTGAGGCCGAGTAAATCGTGCACTTGGCACAGCCTGAGTGAGGCCTGGTCAATCGTGCACCTGGCGCAGCCTGAGTGAGGCCTATTTAATAGTGCACCTGGTGCAGTCTAAGTGAGGCATAGTTAATCATACACATGGCGCAGCCTGAAGCCTAGTTAACCGCGCACATGGCGCAGCCTGAGTGAGGCCTAGCTGACCGTGCACCTGGCGCAGCCTGAGTGAGGCCTAGTTAATCATACACATGGCGCAGCCTGAAGCCTAGTTAATCGCGCACATGGCTCAGCCTGAGTGAAGCCTAGTAAATTGTGCACGTGACACTGCCTGAGTGAGGCCTAGCTAATCGTGCACCTGGTGCAGCCTGAGTGAGGCCTAGTAAATCATGCACAAGGCGCAGCCTGAGTGAGGCCTGGCTGTGCACATGACACTGCCTGGGTGAGGCCTGGCGGATCGTGCACCTGGCGCAGCCTGAGAGAGGCCTGGTTAATCATGCACAAGGCGCAGCCTGAGTGAGGCCTGGTTGACAGTGCACCTGGCGCAGCCTGAGTGAGGCATGGTTGATCGCGCCCCTGGCGCAGCCTGAGTGAGGCCTAGTTAATAATGTGACGGACCACAAGCTGTGTTCCTAAGGCAACATTGCCGTGGACCCCAACCTGTGTTCCTGCCAAGGCAACATTGCCACGGACTCCAAGCTGTGTTCCTGCCAAAGCAACATTGCCACGAACTCCAAGCTGTGTTCCTGCCAAGGCAACATTGCCACGGACCCCAAGCTATGTTCCTGCCAAGGCAACATTGCCACGGACCCCAGGCTGTGTTCCTGCCAGGGCAGCATTGCCACAGACCCCAAGCTGTGCTCCTGCCAAGGCAACATTGCCACGGACCCCAAGCTGTGTTCCTGCCAAGGCAACATTGCCACGGACCCCAAGCTGTGTTCCTGCCCAGGCAACATTGCCACGGACCCCAAGCTGTGTTCCTGCCAAGGCAACATTGCCACGGACCCCAAGCTATGTTCCTGGAAAACTTCATGGAGATCGTCAAGATGGCCAAGGGTCGTGAATGAAGAATCCCCTGTGTAGGCTTCAGTGGGGCCATCTGGTCGGGCAGCAGAGACATGAGAGGCCAAGAAACGACATTCCAGTCGTGGGCTGAGCTCAAGGAGGGCTAGCTCGAGCACCATCCTGCGGCGGGGAAAGGAGGCGGTGCAAGCGGTTCAGCCGAGCCCACAACAGCCAAGAATCTGCTGTCCCTGTCTGGTGGGGGGGGGGGGGGGGCTGTTCAACCCTAGCACATGGGCGAGAAGCCGTGCATGTGTGATGAGTGCGGCAAGACGTTTTCTCGCGCTCGGCCTACAAGTATATACATATTTTTTATTTTCCGCTTGTGTGTTAATCTGTGTTTATCCCGGATATTTTAGAGATGACAATTCTCCTGCTGTGTATCCTACTGCTGTCCCTCCCGGCCATATCAAGTGCCACACTCAACTCTACAAACAGCTACCCTCGTTACTTTGCGTCCATACTTGTTGCTCGATTTGCCACTACACCTGCTAATGAAAAAGCTCATAGACACTTCCACACTCCATCATTGTATCCTTTTAAACCCTATTATTGTCCCATTACTTCACCAGCACTGCTTCCAAACTTTATTCTGCTCTTAAAAATAACACCATCTGCGAGCTACTGCTATTCGTCCAAGGTTCGCCGCTCTTCATCCTTTCACAGAAAATACTTGTGCAAACTATTAATTCTACTTTTCTTATTTCTGGGTGGTATTGAGCTTCATCCTGGCCCAAATGAAAATAACTTGTATAATTCTGTAGATTTTTCTGGCAAGAAAGGTGTTGGTGTTCTACATGTCAACATCAGAGGGCTTGTGATTAAATTAAGTCAACTAAAACTAGAAGTGGCAAATCTTGACCCGGACATATTTTGCCTAACAGAAACATTTCTCACTCCTTCCGTCAATGACTTGCAGATTGCGATTGACAACTACAACCTTTTTCGGCTTGACCGAGGATCTACAGGAGGTAGCATTGCCATCTATGTTTGTAATACTATTGCATGTTCACTAGCTCTCTCCTTGTTTAAAAAATGTTGCTTTGAAGGTCTGGCTGTCAGAATAACTCTCCCCAAATAATCAACAGATATTGGTAGTGTGCTCCTATCGATCGCCTACTGGGAAGAATGTTGAAGCTGCATCTGCACTGAGAGAGCTTTTTGGGGGCCTCCCTAAATGTGAAATAGTTTGTGGGTGATCTAAATTGGAATTGGCTAAACCCGCCGGCCGTGGCCACAAATTTTGCGGATGAATTTAATCTGTTTCAATTAATAAATGTTCCCACAAGACCCAACCTAAAAAATCTGGGACAGTCATCTCTGCTTGACGTCCTATTGACAAATGCCTCTCACAATTTCACACTGACTGGTGTTCTGGGTAATAACCTTAGTGATCACTTCTTCATTTTTGGGGTGAGATCATCAGCCAGACCCAAAGCCCTCCCTAAATTGGTTGAGAAGCACTCTATGAGACACTTCAGCACTCAGGCATTTACTAATGATGTGCTTCACTCGGATATTGACAAGGTCTGTGATATCCCCAACCTGACTACGGCTTGGGAGACCATCAGGTACACGTTTCTCCAAATTCTTAACAAACATGCTCCGTTGGTTAGATTTAAAACTAAAGGCAACCGCCCACCATGGTTTGATCCTTTGATTACAAAGCTCATGAAAACTAGGGACAAGGATTGGGCATGTGCTCAGAAAAGTAATTTGGTCAATGACTGGCTAGAATACAGGATTTTAAGGAATAGATGCGTCAAAAAAATACGGCATGCAAAAAATGCCTACTTTTCC